GCCAAAAAACAGCAGCACAGTTCTCCTTGAACTCTTTGGAGTAGGTCCTGTGACAGGGTCTTTGTACTTCCAAGCTAACTGATGACTGTGGACTATTGAAGGGACTACTGCTTCCAGGAGGGGGCTGTTTTGCAAATCCATTTTAATGGAGGGAAAAAAGTCACCAATAAATTATGGAAATGTCTTTGCTGGTGGCAGAGTGGTACTGTGGTGATGCCACACTGGCTAAAAATATTGCTGCCCATTTTAGGTTTTCTGAGGGCTCTGATTTTTTTTCAAGAATGCTGAGCAAGCATCTCTCTAAAAAACCATGCCTTGTTCAGGTGCCTGAAATTAGGCACCCAGGAAATGTGGAGGAATTTACATTTCTAGGCTCCTGTCATGCCTTTGAAAGGGATTTGGAGTGACCCAGGGAGTATGTGCAGTCTTGCACTGGGGCATGCTGTGGACTGCTCAACAAAAGCCTTTTTTATCATTAGCAAATGGTGTTCCAGTTCACACAAGTATCTTACGCCATTTCAGCATCATCCAGCACTGTGCACTGTGTTGCCTAATGCTGTCAAGTCCTCAGGCAACTGCTCTGCTTGTGAGGAAGGCAGTGTTTTAAGTTGGCCATAGACTTTTAACTTTTACTTTCCTCAGTGCTGCAGGGGCATGTGAAGTTCTTTGATTTCTACTCATTCTGGTTGCAGAGCATACTAAAATTTGGACTTGATTTGAAGGCCTGCCCTTTGATAGAGGGCAACTCCATGAAAATGAGCAGCCAAGGGTTTTGAGGTGAAAATCAGTTGTGCCCATTGCATGAAGGTTTTGCTTGATCTGTTCTGCACCGTTCTGGTAGAAAGGGTGAAACCTGTGTTTTGTAGTGCCTTGCTAGTGTGTACTACCTTGGCAAAGTGCAGTCTAACAGGACGTGTATTCCTGCACTTACCTTTAAGCAGACAGGTCTGCTTAGCACTGCTCTGTGAGTGCCCTACAGCTTGCAAGTAGGAGCATGGGCCAAAGGCTGCTCACTCAGCAGCCCTTGGCCTGGCTTGGTGCATGGATAAGAGACCACAGCCAAAGCGTGTGCATCGCACCTCTGAGATCTCCAAGGTGAGCGTGTCAAACGTTTGGTCAATATTAGCTTACACAAGCCATGAGGAAAGCCTATCTGTTGCACAGTCTGGACTTGCTAAGCTCAGTAACTAAGGACATTGCAAACTCTAAGTGGAAAGTACCAAATTCGGAGGCCTGTCTCTTCATGAGTCACGGCATTACCCCATCGCTCCCCTTGCGGATCATCTTCGGTTCATTCCGCTTTGCGTGCAGTTCTCTGGCATGGTAGTTAATCTGGTTATGCTGCTTCACTCACCGCTGGCGTGATCTCTCCTCCTCTGGGCCCCTGAGGGCAGCTACCCACTGTTCATTGGTGTGCCCCTGGAAGTCTCTGCTGCGGTTTAGTTGTAGCATGCACAGTCACTGCAAGATTAGTGGTTTTTGTTTTGGGTTTTTTTTTCCTGGTAGACAGCAGAATAGGCTTTTTCTTTCTTGTCCGGCACTGACTTCAAGGGGGTAGGTACTCTGCCCTGTCAGATTTGCTGCAGCTACCCCTGTGTTCAGAAGCCAAGCCAAGAGTGTTAATGAGCAGACCTCTGTTTGCGTTTTATGGTGCTGTTTGTTAGCTTTCTGGTGTGTGGACCTGTTGTTTTGACCAAGCAACTAGTGAAACATTAACTGTAAGGCTGGCCATTTCTTCACATCCTCCAAGTGTGTTAGATCTGGAGAGAGCTCCACACATCCCCAGTGTGGCCCTGTGCAGCAGTCGTTCCACAGGACAGTTTTCTGTATTCATGGATCCCTCCCTTGCGTTGCACCATGCTGCTGACTGTGGCACATGCAGCTGCTGGCCCCGATAACAGCAGGATCCGTAAGGGCATGTCCTCCTGCAAGCATGTTTCTAGCACTCTTGCAGATGGTTCATGCATGGACTTTATCCTCTTCTCTTACCAATTTTGTCTTGCATCACTTCCCTAAGCTTTCATTTCTCATAGAGGTTACTCGGCACACCTGGGAAGCACGAGTGCATTTGTTTTACTGAAGTAAAAACTCTTCTACCTGAAAGAATGTCCCAAGGGAAGGTCTTGGAGTTTGTGAGTTCTTGGTCCATGGGGAGAGTCTTTTCGGCCTGGCAGCTACAGCCCCTGCATTGGGTTGCAAGCCATAGCCACCACTGCAGCACATGTGGTGAGTCAGGTCTCTAAAGACCTGAACTGGATGGAATTACAGTTCAGAGCTCCCCTGACGGTTTCCTCAGCCAGCTTCATGGTCACAGAAGCAGGTTCTGCTGTCCTTCCCAGATCTGAAGCTGATCTGAACCAACAATTTGCCCCTCAGCCCGGAAGAGCCCTAGTTCGTCAACCTGAGGAATAAACTGACTGAGGATTTAATTGGGAGAAGGAAGAATTTGGCCTTTCCCTCCTCTTCCCCTCTACCTATATGTGCACATTTGCACTGTCACCTGTCTGCTCTGGTCACTTTGTCCAGGAGTGGCCATGTAGTTGCACAGCCTCCTGTGCCATCTGCAGGAATTGTTAAGTAAAGGAATTAAAAAGCAAAAAGGTATAATGGCTTAATAAAGTTCTCATCTTGTGTTCTCAAACTGGAACAGTATGGTGTTTGGGGAGTTGAGTGCAGGTGCTCTGAGAGCCAATTGACATTGAGTTATTCTAGTTTTACAGTGGTGAACTCGAACAAATTACCCTTTGGGTACTTCCCAAGGGGAATGTTTGTTGACTCAGTTCACAAAGGAAGTAAGGATGTGCATTTGCTTGGGAAAATTATTATCCAAATCACAGTGTTCTTTTGAAACAGTTATTTGACTGAATACCAAAAAGAAGCAATCAAACGCTTGCCTTAAAAGACCTTGGCAAAGCAGTGAATGATGAAATTATAAATTTCTTCTTTCTTACCCCCTCAGAGCAGAATTATCTATATTTGGATTTCTTTTTTCAGCCCCAGAGAGGATGTGAATCAAGTTTGCAAATGGTGTTTGGATCAAATGCAGTGAATTCGACTGTGCCACTTACATGTAGCTGAACTAGAACAGTGTCCTGAGGAACAGTGTCTCTTCCAGACTCACAGACCCAAACAAGATTCCTCTCTTTCCCCTAAGGACATTTGGTAGAAAAAAAGGTGAATGTAGAGCTGGGGAAGTTAGAAGTTTGGTTTTCTTCCCATCACTATCAAAACTATACTAGGGAAGCCTTTTAGGCTCATTTTGGCTCCAGCTCCACTCCCACCATTGGAATGTCCAATCTATTTAGACTGAAGGTATGTGGGGCAGGGACTGTTCCATCTCTGTTGCTATTCCCACCTTTGAAGTATTTCCTAACCGGTCCAGAGAAGCTGTGTCTCTTCACTGAGTACCACATATGTCTCTTGCTTTCACTCAGTGCTTTTCACAACCCTTAGATCAAAGCTCCTCTGCTCCAAGATCATTCTGGATGGCTGGGCTGCTGCCTCTACTTTTGTCCATGGGTGAAGTTTGGCAAGGACTTGGTCAAGATGTTTTTCATTTTTTGAGGCACAAAGTTAGTTTGTGGCTGGAAGAAATGCCATGTAGGAGAGTCTTTTTTGGTCTTTCATGAAATATGCTGTGAGCAGTGAAGTCTTCCATGGCTTGCCTGGGTACTCTGAGGATGATCTCACCGTTACCAGATGGGGTAGTTCAGTGTACATGCTCCTCTCCCACGAGGGACCAGAGCTCTGCTGGATGACCAGAGTTCATCAAACAAGTCTGTATCTGGTTTCAAAACTCAGATTTGTTATAGTCCTTGGTGCAAAGAACAGTCCCCTCTGCTGTCATAGTTTTCCTCTGTACTTGCAGTTTATTCTTTCCTTTCATCTCTAGCCGGTTTTTTTAGATATCTTACCACTAGCTTGAAAAATTCAATGATCAGTTGAATAACAGTGTTCAAGCTACACTGGTGCTCTGAAATCTTTGAGGAGCACCTCCTGATCCTGCATTCCCATTTCCAGTGGATTTGATGTCATATATTGAATTGGTGAGAACCCCAGGACTGATCTCCTGGAGGAAAGGGAAGGTGCAGGAAGCTGAACAATTAGATCAGTCCCTGGGATTTTCAATTATATATTTTTTTTTAGCTCTTTCACTTAACTTCCCTGGATGGGTAGGTTTAAGACATTCAAAAGTATTAAAACCCCCTAATTCCAAATTAGCAATGCCAGGAAGATGCATGCTGTGGATACTTTCTTCTTCCCAGCAGGCCGCAGCGTCTGCCCGCGTCGTAAGGGGACGTTTTTGTATTTTAACAATTAGATCAGTCCCTGGGATTTTCAATTATATATTTTTTTTTTAGCTCTTTCACTTAACTTCCCTGGATGGGTAGGTTTAAGACATTCAAAAGTATTAAAACCCCCTAATTCCAAATTAGCAATGCCAGGAAGATGCATGCTGTGGATACTTTCTTCTTCCCAGCTGTTCCATGTGAACTTGGGTAAGTTGGACTGGCCTGGCAAGCGGCCTAACTCTTTGCTGTTGATGACGCCTCTCCAGCAGAAGCGGTGTGTGGGCAGACAGGTAGTTTCATCATGGGGAGGAGGAGGAGGAGGCATGCATCACCTTTTGTTTAAGCAGAAGCATCTTTTTGGAATGCTATCCACTTTATCGGTTAGGGCTTGAACAAGGAGCAGCCAGGAGAGGCTGGATATTGTAATTAACGCAAGTGGAGGCAGGCTGCTGCGTCTACCTGCCTGGAGAAGAATAACCTGTTGAATTTGCTAGGAGCTATTGCTGTGAGGACAAGATCTACGGTTACTAGGAGTACAGCAGCCACAAGTGGATGAAGTAGCTGCTTCAGAGCTATGCTGTGGGGAAGAGGCAGGGGCTTGGATACTGGACACTGGATGCCCATTTGGGTTAGAGCCTCCGCTTTTGCCTCCTAAGCCTGGGGAGGAAGAATACGCAGCCCGTTTGCTTTTGGTTGGGTCAGTGAAGGATGGCTGCGCTCTCTCAGCACTTGAGGATCCTGCTGTGGAAGAACTGGCTGAGTGTCAAGAGGCAGCCGGTGAGTGTGAAAACAGTAGTAGAGGAGGGGGACCTGGAAATCACAGGAGCTGAGAAGCAAGGGGGAGGCACTGCAGGAGAGGAAGGTCACAGCATTAAAATAGAAGTATTTTGAAGGCTGCTGATAGAGGCAGAGGAAAGAAAGGGAATGTCAAGGAAGTGAAGGTGAGTCTTGCATTGGAGCTCGTGCATGAGGGCTCAGGATTCCAGGCTGAGTACCATGGATGCCACTGTTGTTTCCTTGGGGCAGTGGTCTGTGCAAACAAAATCATGCACAAACTCATGGGCAGATCTGAAATAAAGCTGCAGTTCTGTACCTGCTCCCACGTGAGCAGACCCCTGGGATTTGGGAGTGAGGGGATGTGTGCTCTTATATAGAACCATTTGTTAAAGGATGGAGAAAGAAAGAAGTAGCTCTGAGAGATGTAGGTAGGACAGATTTCCAGTGCAGTACAGTGTGTTGCAAATCAAACGCCCCAAATGGTCTTTCTATCCAAAAGATAAATTATTGCCAGCAATGTTCTGAAAGCAATCTGAACTGCAGCAGCATCAGGGAGGCAAATGTTCCTTTGGGTGGCATTGCGTGTTCAGGCAAAGTCTGCTTAGTAGTTTTGTCCCAGGCTGGTTTCAATACAGCTGCACTGTAATTTCAGCAGAAGCATGCTGCAGGTCATGGACTTGGATCACAACCTATCCTTTTGCTAGTAATCCAAATGTGATGTTTTTTAAACTTTTTGGTTGAATGGAAGCCTTGGCAGGTGTGGAAAATGCTGACAGAAGAGAGTGCTATGGAGGGCGTGATATGAGGATGGAGTGAAAGATCTCGTATCACCACATGCTCTGCAAGGTCTGTTCTTGCCTGCCCTGTCCTGCCTCTCAGTTTTGGAGCCTGATTCAGAGAGGTGCTCAGTTCATTTGACTCCTTGTGATCCTCCATGGGAGCTGTGGACATGCTGTGCACCTCAGAGTAGAGTATCCTTCGCTGGGGCTAAGGGTACAGGAGGCTTTTTCTGAGATGCAGAGGAATCCCAGTAAATTACCTCTAATTTCTCACGAGAAATTGTAACAGCCTTGTTAAAAGCAGAAGGCTTGGGTCTCTTTCAGCTCTTTTGTACCTGGAGTAAAGGCTAACCAAAGCCCTACCATACAGTCTCACTTGCTTTAATTCTGGTTTCTTGTAGAGTTGAAACATCAATTTTGTAGAATTGAAATGTCAATTGAAATAAAAATCTGGCCACTACTGATTGCTATATGTCAGGCATTCCCTGCAGCCCTCCTTCATTTCCCTCTCTTGCTCCAAGTTAGGGAGCTTGCCCAGGCTGGAGAAGGTGCAAGGAGGTAAATCCAGATCTCTGCTCCCAACCACATCCTGATTTGTCTGTCCTCCTGCTGGTGTTTTCTACATCTGTGTAATCTGACTTTACTTATAGACCAGGCTTTTAGAAAGCTTTTTTTTTTTAGTGTGCATGTTTTGCAAGGGAAGCATTCTGTTGTGCTTCTCAGTTTCTGGTAACGAGTGAAGGTGGTTCCTGCTGCTGCTGTGGTGTTGGCTGCCCTCGCCGCGACTGACTGGTACCCCAGGGAGCCCCTGTCCTCCCCCCTGCAGTGGTGTTTTCTACATCTGTGTAATCTGACTTTACTTATAGACCAGGCTTTTAGAAAGCTTTTTTTTTTAGTGTGCATGTTTTGCAAGGGAAGCATTCTGTTGTGCTTCTCAGTTTCTGGTAACGAGTGAAGGTGGTTCCTGCTGCTGCTGTGGTGTTGGCTGCCCTCGCCGCGACTGACTGGTACCCCAGGGAGCCCCTGTCCTCCCCCCTGCAGGCTCAAGTGCTTTCCTGCTCTGTTTATCAGGCTCTCCAGGGCTGGCAAACACATTTGCTTCTGCCTTTTGCTTTACACTTTATTTCCTCTGCGAGTTCTCTGCAGGGCCCCTGGAGAGCCTGCCTCTACCTGTGCGGCGTGGGGAGAGCCACAGCTTGCTTGACTGTCAGTTTGTTGAAAACAGCTGGAGCTCTGCATCCAGGTTACTGCTGCTGAGAAAGGAATGGACATGAGTTTAGGAGGGAGGCAGCCTTCTTGGGAGCAAGGTTTGGCTTGCTTTCCAAGAGGAACTGGAGAAATCAGTGCCTCTTGCACTTCTGTGGCTTTCCATCTGTTGCTTTCTGGGCAGCTTGGTTGGTTAAACAGAGGCAGGAGGGAGAGAAAAAATGTGCCTGCGTCCAGAGATACTAAGTAAGGTCTGAGCAATTAAATTTACTTTTAGCAATGAAATAATCCAGCGACCAAAGGATTATGCAACCTACATCACAGCACAGTGCTTCATGTCCCAAGAGCCAAATTGAGGTGGGTTATGGCTCCTTTCAAGCCAACATGTTCCACCTGCAATCAGTTTGGCTGATGTGGTTGTCTTGTTTTTGTTAACTGGAAATGCCTGGGACAGTGGGAATGCTGTTATGTTGCAAGTGATGTACCCAGCTACTGTAAAATCCAATTAAGTCAAAGGACAGAGATACTAAGGGAAGAGCTGTCTGGAAAGTGGGGAGTAAAAGCACCATTTTAGCTCCAAATGTGAAGCTACAGAGATTTCCCTGAGTAGAGAGAGACAATCAGTATTCACTTCTTCCCCCAAGAATATGACAGATTGCCCTTCCTTTAGGCAGCCTCTGACTAATACCAGTTTCTGTGCTGTTACCCCATAATTTTACTTTAGCCTATGTGGTACTAAACAAGGAGGATATGTTAATAATACCATTTGCATGTGAATTAATCAGCTTAAACAGTGTGTTTGGGGACTGATTATAAGGAAAGCATGTGATATAAAAAAAATTGTAAAAAAGATCTTAGTTTCAGTGATGAATCTTGTTATAAATGGTGGTGTATATATAAAAGGCAGGAAGAGTACTGTCTGTAAAAGCTGATAATGTTGCTGAATGCTGAACTTACAGGAGTACCCTCTCTGAAGGGATGTGTGGGGAGGTGCCTTGTGGTTTCATGTCTGTCAGTTGCCTGTTTGGGGGCATGAATCTTGCTCCTACTTTCATGACTGTGTCATCTCATCAGTGATGATAGGGATGGAGTTGTTGTAAAACAACCATCTTTAAGCTGAATTGCTCTCCAGGATTTGTTTTTCTGTTTGTTTGTTTTTATGTTCCAGTAAGTGTTACAGGAAATGAAAACACTGTTATGGGCTTGGAATTACTTTGGAAAAACAGTTTTGGGTAATATGTGCTGATCGGAAAAAAGTAGCAACACAAGGATGAAAAATGGGATGATTTTGAAGAAAGACATCTTTGCAGTTTCAAAAATTGGCATGAAGATAGCACAGCAATTTTGCAGCACAGAGTAGTTTGAGCTTAACTACTGATGGATGGAAAACTCTAATGTAGTAAGCACGGCAGCAAGCTAGCCAGCTAGCGCAAAAGCAGTTGATTATTTGAATAATTGCATTTTCCTAGCTTACAGAACTCCCAGGTTTGTAGTTTTAAGACTGACTTTGGGCCTTCTACCTAGATTGGTTTACTGCATTAAATTATTAGCAGACTGTATTTTCTGCAGTCTCGTCCACTGAAATGGTTAACCGTCATGTCAGAGGCAAGAGCTCTATAAATATTCATGTGTTTTTCACCGTACTAGGCCAATTTTACATCATCTCTCTTCCATCTTGGTTATTCTATATGGACTGCTACAGTCTGGAAATGGAAAGGTGCCAGGGAGTTAGGTTGCTGGGGTCAGAAGCTGATGGGAGGGATCCTGGTGATGGGTGTTCAAATGTGATTTCTCCAGCTGACTGGTTACACAACTCCATAAACCCCTTCCTATACCATGCTTGAGCTTCACATCTTGTAAATCCTTTCTTTCAGCTCTACTGTGAGGCTCTGAGCTACTGTTTGTGGAAAACAGTGAAACTTTGGGGGGAAAAAAAATGCTGTAGACTTATCAATTCACTTGTCAAACTCTTTAATTTTGAGGTATAATAAAATCAGTCATCTTTACCCATCATTTGAGCAGTGCCATTCACTGAAAGTAAAACCAACCTTTTGCACTTTAGGTCTTTTATCTTGTTTTTATCAGTGCATCCAGAAGTCTTGTACTTCTCGGTGCCCTTTTGCTATTACATAGCAGTGCCTCAAATCTGTGTAAATGCAATCCCCCATAATTATCATCCAAACTGAAACACAGGAAGGCTTGTGTTATTTTCAGGCTTGTTATTTGCTCTTGAAATCTTACGTAGTTTTTCTTCCTGCATAGATAATACTTGGGTTTTAATAGTATGCATACCAAGACAGGTGCGATTTACAATGCATCCTATAATTCGTTTAGGGTAGTACTTCTACGTTCCAGAGCAGCTCTGAGACACATCAATACGACAAAAATAACCGATATATTTTCATTGCTGTTTTATAGGTATGGTCGTTCATTTTAATTTCCTGGCCTGTGGTTGTTTTCATAATCTTGGCCATTATCCGTCTCAAATTCCCTCCAGAACCACAGCCAAACTGTAAGTAACTGGTTTGTTTTTATGTCTTTGGGATTTAGTTCTCATTTCAGTGACTGATGTGTTAATTTGATGTGTTTCACTACTTTTACAAATTTTGTTCTTTGTAGTTTCCAGTAGAGATTTCCTAGGATGTAGCATGCTGTAAATAAAATGTTTGTGTTCCTCTGAGGTTGTTTCTGTTCATGGTTTTTTCAGATTAGTTTTATAATTAGAAAACAACTTTAAAGAACTGTCTTATCAAGATGTGCTCAGATACTGCTCTTGCAGACAGCAATATAAATTTTTGTGATAAATTGAGGGACAAACAGGCAGCTGGGGGAGATCTTAGTAAGTAAGGCTTCAGGTGGGATTACAAAGGTGAGGTAACAAACATGAGCTTGGTCAACGTGAAAGATTTTACCTTGTGTGTGCTACAGGCAAAAAGCACCTATGTAGGCAGCTTGCTACTAAGGCTCAGCTGAAGAGTGGTAACTTTTTTGGCTCCTGTCATCTGATGGTGTATGTGAGCCCTTTCTAGCGAGTCAAAGAGCAGCAGTTTTGGTGGGTGAATAGTAGGTGGTGGTTAAATGGGTGAAGAGTTTACACAAGGTGGTTTTTGCTTGGAAGCCTTGCTTCCTGGGCAGGAGAACATGTCTACATCTCAGAGCATGGGTGTGCTTGAATCTGCTCTGGAAAACTTAGACTGATTTAGCGAGTCCTTATCACCATCAGAAGCAGCATGCACCCAACCCTGGCCCCATTTGTTTGTGAAGTTATATGGTAAAACAGAGCAAGGAATGGGCAGTACAGCAGAGAGGACTGCGTGGAGAGCTATTAGTGACAGCCATTGTTTCCCAGTGCAGGGTAGGAATAGGCCCTCAAAAATTACCCCTACTAAGAGATTTGCAATATCCGATTCATAGGAGAGACACCACCATGGATGACCTGCATCAGGCTGTCATCAATTTAGCAATGAAGTCCTGGCATGGGCAATGTTGGATTTTTATATTTGTTGTAAAGAGACTGGTGCGGGGGGAGAGGAGGCCCTCTGGCAGTGGTGAGGAAGGACAAGCAGCTGGCTTCCAGAGTTTGTAGAGATCAGATGTGTAAAATGTGGTTGTGAGGGATGTATGCTTGATGACGTGTGTGTGTACTGGAAGTGTTTGACCCAGCAACACGTGTGATTCTCTGTATGTTTCTGTATGTTGTATGAGAAAGGGCCACATTTTGACAAACGCTGGATATACAGTTAGGACAGCCCTTGTCCCAAGGAGCTTGCTGCCCAATCTGACTAAAGATTTGTATACCTCATTTTGTAGACCGGGATGGAAAGCCAGAGCAAGCAACTTTCTAAAAGTATCACAGGAAGTTGTTGATGGAGAAAGACATTCTTGGTGTGTGAGGGTGATCTTTTAACCCCAAGCCCATCTGCTGTCAGCCGAAGGCCTCTTTAGGCATGTCATATGTTTTAAGTTCTCTCGAATTCCCTTGAACCAGTTGGAGCAGGCAAGACAGGACACGTTGTACTTTGTGAAAACAGATTTTGCCAAGTGTGGAAATGGCAGTCTTCCCACGCTGCTCCATCGGTTGTACTTCCTGTCCCTGATAAATCAGACAAGATGAATGTCAAGAGAGCCATTTGGATAGTAAAATATTTATTGTTTTACTCTACATGGCTCTTAGTTTGAATGTGTATTTATTTGGAGCATGTTTGCTGTGGATGGTTGCATCTCTGAATTAATGGATTGGAAGGAATGTTTTTAGGAACAGCAAAGTAGCTCCATTAGTTGTGCTTTGCAGGAAAGGGCAGTATCTTTGGACTACTTCCCTTTTCTTCCATAGATAGTTCTATTTTGCGACAAGTCTCAGTCAGTATGTGAGCAGGTGTCTGTTTCTCTTAGAAGTGGATGATAGGAACTCTTTATTGCAAGAGAGGTTTTACACTGGAAAATAAGGGTTGTGGTGTTTTCTTGTGATCCAGGTGTTCAGAGACCATCCAAGAATTCCGAGGAGATGGAGAAGAGCGTTAACCAGAGCATCAAACAGCCAGTTTCTGCTGCTTTTCTAGTTAAATAAGAATAGCCACTTGACAGTTATGCTCTTTTTTTGACAACTGGAAAAATGTGTCAACTTTTTGCTTGAAAAGCAAAAGAGAAATAATTTGGGAACCTTCTTTTCTGATAGGCAAAAAAAAAGGCGAGTGGACACAACGAGGAAAACTATTATGGGGTGGGGGTTCTTTGTTCATTTTGGACAGGAATAAAGTCCACTTTATGCTGAGTTCCAGTGCCTGCCTTAAAAGACACAATCATTAAGCAGTGACAAGAAGCTGTTTCCAGTTCTGCTGTCAAGAGGTTATTGCAGGTAGACTAAAGTCAGGAATCACAGAATCAATGGCACCGAGATAGAATAAGCTACTTGGATGCTGAGTCTTGAAGCCTTAGAGATAACCCCACAGAAGATCTCAGTCTGTAAGCTTATCTCATGTATTCAGGACCACAGAAATATAATGAAATCTATTATTTGCTCAATTAAAACAGCTGAAATTTGAGGCAGTAAGTTCTCCTGAAGGATATTTAATACACATTCAGTAGATTGAGGATCATGTGGAGGAATTACCTAGCAAACATCAGTCATGAATGAACAAGTGGCAAGAGCCTCCTGGAAAAGCAAGTTGCTTGCTTTGGATTATGTTGTGTAGCACCTAATGCAAAGGGAACTTGTGCCAGGCTGAACTTCGAAGGGAAATGACATGCCAAATAAATGTCACCAGTCAAGAGGGTGCTCATAGGAAGACTAAGAACTGAGGAAAACAAGGAGCTGAAATTCATCCGACATATAATTTTCTTCACAACTAAAGCATCTAGTATCTAAGAGGAAAAAAACCCACTTCTCTTCTTTCTTCCAGGCATCTGTTTGATGATTTATTACCAGGTCAGCAGAGATTATTGTCAGGAGAAATGAAAAAGATTTCTCTTTCTCTGCATACCCAGTTCCTGTGATGATCTGAGAGTCTAACCACACCAAATCCCCATCCAACTTACTTTGCACGTTGCAGTTGTGGCTTGTTGACCTTTATATTACAGCCCTTGTATTTGCTAGAAGGTATCGGGATGTGTTTTGCAGCATCCATGTGGAATAGTAAACTCTGGATTGGAAGCCTACAGCATGAAAGCCAGTGAAGTGCGTTTGATGGTATCTTCCAGTTTTTTGTGCCTGTATCATCTGTTTTCTAGAGAAGGGACAAAAGTCCCTTTCTGTCACTGTGGGTTTTTGCCAGGTATGGAAATTGTGTATGAGATACAATCTGTCCCTGAGGGCTCAACCCACAGAGTCTTCAGAGAAGCCCAATTACACTCCTTGCTTTAACTAGCACTGTCACACCCTGTCACGCCCTCCCCACCCGCGTTCTTCCTTTTCTGGTCTCCTTCTTTCCCTTCCTGTCACTTTGACCTCCTCGTTATTCCCTATAGAAGCTCTCTTGGGTGTGGTTAGTCATCCACTCATTCGGAAACCCTCCTCTTTAGTGCTGTGGAGAAGATGTGGTAGAAACCTTGCCCTCCTGTGAGACCCGGAGCTCTGCTCCCCCGGCTTTCCAAGGGATGGCCAGTGGGCTGTGAAAGCCATGCCTCATGCACAGTTATTTATCCTTCTTCATAGAAAGAAGCTGTGCTCCTGGGTATGGTCTTAAAATCCACCAAATTCTTTCTGTCAGGGAATTCGTTGCCTGAACCCTTCTCAGCGAAGCACATCTTATCCTTCACCTCTGCCCAGAATTTCCTCACCCCCGTGGAGATGCCTGCAGGGTGTATTGCATTCACTCAGAGATACTCGGCATAGGCTCAGTAGCAGAGTGCTCTGCAAGGCTGTGTCTTTGCAGCCAATATTGTCGGGGAATATCATAGTAGGTGAGCACTAGACTGTTTGCCAGTACCAGCATAGCTGGTTAGGTCTAGTTTAGAGCCAGAGCTGTGTGGCTCCAGTGCTACTTGGGAGAGGTCCCAGGATAGGAGGATCTTTGACCTATACTCCATTCAGTCTTACTGTGATCAGCAGCTAGGATTTGAGCCGGTCCAGAATTGGTTGGAAAAATCAGTGTGAATCACGGAGCACAGATCTGAGATGCCTTAGGAGAGAAGGCTGTGGCTTCTTGTACCTGCAGACAGAGCTTTCCTGCGCTTCTGTGCTGAGCACAATTACCATGCTAGAGCTAACTGAGGCATGAGTTACCCTGGTCAGGGCAGTGTCAGAAAAGGAGGCAGGGTATTCTCTATAGCTTAGAAGGAAAGGATAAATGCAGATAGCATCCCCTTTCCCATACCGCTGGGAAAGGGGGTGAGGCAGCTGGTTGTGATGGGTGCGAGGTGTGTGCTCTGCCAAGTGCGTGGAGGGCAGTGCCCATCGCCCGCTCTCCTTATCACCCACGCCTGTCTCAGCCCCTGTTGCAGCAGTGTTCTCGTAGATGAGTTCAGCGGCCTCCTGCCTTGTAGGTCTGTGTAACTAAAGGACCTCAAACTGCTTTTAGCTCTGGCAGTTCCCTGCTGCAATCCCAGCATGTTGCTCTGCTGCAGAAACCTTAAACTAACTTTGCCGCACAGTTAACAGAGAAAGACCTTGAGCTGGGTTAATTCTTAATGTGAGTGAAGGCTGTGGCTGCCAGGACGTGTGTGAGGGCAGATGGCATGGAGCAAGGTGGGCCACAGCACTATCCTTCCTCTGATACACCATCCTGGAGGTGAGAAGGCTCTGAAAAGATGCTTGTGCTTTAAAGGAATTTGCTTCAAAGTTGGAGGGACTTGAACTCGTCTCTTTTCCCAGTAGTGTGGAAAAATTAATAGGTTTCCATGCTAGTTGAGATGGTGGCTCAGCTACACAGGCTGCTCCATTCATTTGGATAAGTCATGGGTATTTATGCAAGGCATAATCCAACCCCAAGGGTTCCACCTGCCCTGTGTACAGGCAAGCACACATCAGACTTCTAGCTCTCCTTCACCATTTGCCTGTGGTGGAGCAGCCCAACT